AACCATTTCGAGTTCAGACACCAGACATCCTCATGACGAAGTACTCCATGTTATTCCACTATAGTAACATGGAGAAAATTATGTCTCCATTCCATCATTCAGTATTTCTTGTATCACTTTGTATAGACTTTTTCAGAATTTTCTGTGTTCAAACACGATCACATATCCGACGACTATACACAACGTTGATTCTTCGGAGAAGAATTCATTCATTCATTTCATTCAATAATTAATCGTCGAAAGATTAATGTATCATATACCTATATTCTGAATGAATATTTATAACACGATTATCAAAGCTCTGAATTTGAAAATTCCGAAAACGATTCGAGAGAATGCATCAATCAAGAGGATACCAGGTGATAAAAAAAATTGAAAAAAATCATTTGTTCAAACGGTAAGGTGACAACCACGATGTAATTTCACACCCATTCAATTATCACCCTGTAGCAATGTTATCTGAAATTACATAAGTTTCATATTGCCACAACAAACTGTCAAGAGATTAGGCTAATCATCGGTGGAAACCGATTTTGAATCGATAAGGAAATTCGTTGTTCTACTTTGAATTCAGGCTATATTTTTGTCCCCGACGTTATATCAATGTTGACCAGTTTATTTATGGGGTGGCAGTGGTGGCACGTGTAGGTTTTTAAGATCCACCATCCAATAGAGCAGTTTAGGTACCGTTGAGAGAGAAAAAAAATGTCTTCCCATCTGTCCTTGTTTTCAGTGTTCCAACATAAAATAATGAAAATATTATGTTGGCATCATTGGAAATGGAAAAAAATGGAGAAGAATATCATATTAACCTCGATATAAAAGAAGGTTAGAACGGTCTTCTTCTCCATTTCTTCTCATTTCCAGTGTTGGCAACATAAGATTTTCATTATTTCATGTTGGAACACTGAAGACAAGTACAGATGGGAAGACCATTTTTTTCTCTCTCAACGTAGTTAATAGAGCAGTTCAGCTACCGTTGAGAGAGAAAAAAAATGTCTTCCCCATCTGTCCTTGTCTTCAGTGTTCCAACATGAAATAATGAAAATCTTATGTTGCCAACACTGGAAATGAGAAGAAATGGAAAAGGAGACCGTTCTAACCTTGTTTTATATCGAGGTTAATATGATATTCTTCTCCATTTTTTCCCATTTCCAATGATGCCAACATAATATTTTCATTATTTTATGTTGGAACACTGAAGACAAGGACAGATGGGGAAGACATTTTTTTTCTCTCTCAACGGTAGCTGAACCATAGGAATTATGGTGTATATATAATTTCTATGAGCTGAACTGCTCTATAATTGGTATGGGGTGCCAAAAATTCTTATCTCGTTATCAAATTGTGAAAGGATAGTTATTGGCACAGGTGCCGTTCGATAAAATACAATATTTTTTCGTAAGTACCTTTGGAACATAACATTTATTCCTTACTTACAGAAAATACACTCATAACTCGTGCAGAAACCTCATTCATCTTACATTTTCTGGTTAACAATGTTGCCAAATTCCAGATTTTGTCGTAATAATCTATGCAATGTTGCAGTGGTTATATAGCCAAATTTCATTTGAAAATCGTTAACATTCAACCGTTTTTTAACATGTAAAACGATTTCAGCATGCCCTGGAACTTTTGGAATTAACTTTAACAAGGTCACAAAGTAGGTCACACAAATGTTGTATAATGTGAGACGTTGCCAAATTGATAGTAAAATGGAAGTCTTTCCCAAGTGAGATGAAGAGACTCCGGCAATGCTGTTCTTCACGTGCAGCTGGTCCTTTTGACTTCTGGTAGAGCTGCTCCAATCAAATTTGAAAAGGTTATAGTTTTTGTCAATTCAAAATTCCCAATAAATCAGAGATAGGTACAAAAAAAAGGATAAACATACATAATATATATTTTATTTATCTTTTTTCATTTTAGGTACATACATACTTACCTAACAAAATGCATTTTCAGTTTATATCATAAAATATATTGATTAACAGTTGTATGCGATTTAAAATAAGGAAACACAAATTAATTTTCTGCTAGGAAAAATTAATGCTTTACAAGAATGTTTGGTCAATTAATAATATACAGGGTGATAAAGTATAATACAAAATATTTGAGCTGAGCATGTATTGACAAAAAGTCGTATATAGGAATGAATTAATGAATAAACTGTGTATTTTGGATAGACAAATAGATAGATGGATAATTTCGTTTTGATTAAAAATCACAATTTTCTATCCTGTACTGAACATGTTCTGAATACTGGGTGAGATTTTGATAAATAAGGATACAATTAAATTGTATTAAAGTTCAAATGTCATTGCATATGTTGAGCAGTGTATCTCCTGAATCATTTTTTGTACTATACTTTGTGAATATCACAGTATAAAAGTGACTGGTAACATATATTACAAATGTACATTGGTAAAATTATTAATTTAGAGCAATTCTTGTGATATTTTTATTCGTAAATACAGGGCGATTCAGAATAGAACCGAAAAAATGTGGAACAAAAAATATTTCAAAAATCTTTCTTTGAAAAAATTAGGGAATCAAATTTTCTAGGTTTCATTTTGAACCACCCTGTACACGGGGTAGGATTATTACCTACCTTATAGTCAGGATTGCTTAAAAGAATATATATAAATAAAAACACGGGGTGTCCCATAAGTACACGGCCAAAATTTAAATAATATCCTCGGAGATATAAAATTCAATAAGAAGAATAATGAACAGTCAATATTACCACTGTCCTTTTGAAAGTACTCCTATTATTTCGAGATAGCAAGAATATTTCCAGGAAAATAGTTGTATTCCTTCAACTATTTCATGACTAAATAAGAAAATAAATAATAGTACAGAATTCTGTGTATTATAATATCATTATAATTGTTAGAAAAAAGTATCAATGGAGGACAACGTTGATTGGTCACGTGTGCATAGTTAATTCTGCTTCCGTATAGGTAGAGCGAGTTTAATAATATTAAAGAAATTAATTATATTACTGTAATATAAGAGAAACCATGAAAAGGATCGAGTCTGATTGTTTCTTGAAAATAAGTGATATAAGTTGCATGTCAACATAGGCTGCATTTGAAATTATTTTGAAACATACAGGGTGTCCCCAAAAACCATGAAACACTGAAGTTAAACTTTTTTCTATCGAACACCCTATATATTATTTCATTTTGAGATTCTCCCTGATGAGCTGATTTCAACGACCCATCATACTTGGGGTCTAGCAGTTATAATTACTGAAATATAGGGTGTGAAAAATCGAGATTTTCCAAGTTCAAGAATTTTTTGTGTCGAAACTATTCATAATTGGTCAAAACGGCTTACATGTCCCTATCTCAACTTTTGATTAACTATCTACTGATATTTAATTGGGGCATATACCGGGTGATCAAGATTCTGAATTCTGCACCACCCTGTATTTGTTTCAATTAAATGTCAGTAGATAGTTGATCAAAAGTTGAGATAGGGACATGTGAGCCGTTTTGACCTATTATGAATGGTTTAGACACAAAAAATTCTTGAACTTGGAAAATCTCGATTTCTCACACCCTATATCTCAGTAATTATAACTGCTAGACCCCAAGTATGATGGATTGTTGAAATCAGCTCACCAGGGAGAATCTCAAAATGAAATAATATATAGGGTGTTCCATTGAAAAAAGTTCAACTTCAGTGTTTTGTGATTTTTGGGGACACCCTGTATGTTTCGAAATAATTTTAAATGGTAGCCTATGTTGACATGCAACTTCCTAGAGAGGAAGAATTCCAAGAAGATAAGTGGTTAGCCTTCTAGAGACCGAGGCGTTACTGCTGGCCCACCCTGTATAATATAGTCAATATAATAAATACCGATTAACTGGCTAGAATCACGCAATTCTATCGGTTGAATTTTTGGTATGATGTAGTTCACTTGGTGCTTTAAAATATTTTCATTGAGTCAACCCCCAAAAATGGACAGTTTTTTTGCCAGGGGGGTTTGAATTCATATTTTTATCGAATTGACCATTTATTTCTGAGAAAAGGAACAATATTCCAAAACTTTTTATTCCATTTAAATACTTAATAATTACTGAAAATAGATTCTTCATAAAAAATATACGGAGGGGAATAATTATTACCCCCCTACCCCTATTTTGTGATCCGAAAAAAAAACAAGAATTCCATCTAACTGTCAAAGCGATAGGAAATGTTTCATCACGGATAATTATGGAAACTGCATTATTTGCATTATTAGCCCCCACCAATTGGGGGTGCGAATGAAAAAAAAAAGGTAGATTTCGTTGAATTTTTTATATGATGTAACAGAAAAACTGTCCATTGTTTAGGATTGTCACCCGATGATTTTCTGATCGGAAACATATTTTTATGGACTACATCATAACAAAAATTCAGCGAAATCTACCAATTTTTTTTTACATTTGTACCCCCATTTGGTGATGGGTAATAATGCAAAAATGCGTTTACCATAATCATCCGTGATGAAACATTTCCTATCACTTGTGACAGAAGGAATTATTTTGTTCTCGGTTTTTTAAAATAGGGGTTGTGGCTAATAATTCCCCCCCATTACATTTTTTTATGAAGAATCTATTTTTAGAAGTAATTGAATGGAATAGAGTTTTGGAATATCGTTCATTTTCTCAGAAATAAATTGTCAATTCGATCTAAATGTGAATTCAAACTTCCCTGGCAAAAAAAACTGTCCATTTTTGGGGTTTGGCTCAATGAAAATATTTTATAAAACAACATGAACTACATTCACCGAGACCCAATTTACCCTTAAAATTTGCGGGGTCCTTTCAGATAAACTAAAAACCCTTCAAGGGCAGTATTATTTTCACTTACGTCATTTGGTCGTACACTTATAGAACACCTAGTCTATTGCTTTGAGCTTCATCGACGAAATACAATAATCAATTCCGAAAAACTTTTTTGGCGACATACAATTTGGCAGTCGATACTTTTTTCTCTCAGAAGAAGGGCTTTTACAAAGCCCTTCTTCCGCTCTCCCCGTACATGTACTTGAAATAGGCGGCGTTCATCTGCTCCAGGAAAACGAAGGTCAGCACTGTGTGCGGCCCCAGGCGGAAATAGTAGGGCAGGAAGCCCTTCCATAGGGCAAAAACACCCTCATTTCTTACTATCTTCATCAGCACGTCCAACGGGCCGGAGTATTCCGGTTTGCCGTTTACCGTTTTCATATTTTGGATCCTTGGAAACACAAATAACAATAAATAATACAAAACACATAGATAAAACGGTGTTTGGAAAGATCATGTCATAAATTATAGAGCGAATAGGGCGAGCCATAATAATGTTTTTGAATTTTTTTAATTTTTATTTATTTACTAGCTGACCCGGCCAACGTTGTTTTGCCATAAACATTATTTCTGGAAAGAATTGTTCCAGATAAATATTTTTTCTACAAGCGTGCGTGATTCACCCTATACCCGCACGCAATTTAGTTTGGGAAGTGTCATTTTCCCGCAACAGTGAGGGAAAATTTTCCCACACTAGTGCGGGAAAACAAAGATATGCTAAAATCGCTAGTAATATAAGTGGTTGGTGATGGAATATAAAAGTTTGAGTATGTTTGTTGCAGTATTAAGTATGTATGTTCAGAATCATCCATCAAATTGCACTATTTATTCTAAAAATTAAGAAATATTGAGGAATAAAAATTGATTATTATAAAAATCCCCCTATAGATTTGGATTGATCTGACGGGAAACGTCAATTTGTCATGCCAATCAAACCTCAAATAAGTTCGAAATTGTCGAAGTGACAGACACAGCGTTACTGTCATTTTCGATTCAGTGGAAATGCCGCAATGTGATCAAAAACTTCTAGCTATAGGGATTTGATACAGATGCGTTATCACCAACGAAGTCTTAAGAAAGGTATGAGAAGCTATACACGCGTTTTATTGAATGGTGCAACAATAAAAAAATGAAAAAACCGAATGAAGAATAGGTATTTTTGGCTCATTTCATAGAAGTGTCTGGAACCTAGAGACCAAACTCCTAATGGGCCTGCTGGCTTCCGTAATGAACCAACATAATGCGTCAAACTGTAAGGTCACAATAGCTATTACTAATAATTAACAGATAGAGAATATATATCTCTTGTTAGTTGTTCCTATTTGCTCAAATAATTAATTGAACGATTCAATCAATTTCCTACGCTTGTAGAAAATAGTAATTTTCCTAACAAGTGCGGAAAGACACTTTCCGCATGAGTTAGGAACAATATTTTTTCTACAAGCGTAGGAAATTGATTGAATCGTTCAATTAATTATTCAAGCAAATAGGAACAACTAACAAGGGGTATATATTCTCTATCTATTAATTATTAGTAAAACTATTGTGAACTTACAGTTTGACGCATTATGTTGGTTCATTGCGGAAGCCAGCAGGCCCATTAGGAGTTTGGTCTCTAGGTTCCAGACACTTTTATGAAATGAGCCAAAAATACCTATTCTTCATTCGGTTTTTTCATTTCTTTATTGTTGCACCATTCAATTAAACGCGTGTATAGCTTCTCATACCTTTCTTAAGACTTCGTTGGTGATATTAACGCATCTGTATCAAATCCCTATAGCTAGAAGTTTTTGATCACATTGTGGCATTTCCACTGAATCGAAAATGACAGTAACGCTGTGTCTGTCACTTCGACAATTTCAAACTTATTGGAGGTTTGATTGACATGACAAATTGACGTTTGCCGTCAGATCAATCCAAATCTATAGGGGGATTTTTATAATAATCCATTTTTATTTCTCAATATTTCTTAATTTTTACAATAAATAGTGCAATTTGATGGATGATTCTGAACATACAAACTTAATACTGCAACAAACAATCTTAAACTTTTATATTCCATCACCAACCACTTATATTACTAGCGATTATATCATATCTTTGTTTTCCCGCACTAGTGCGGGAAAAAATTTCCCGCACTAGTGTGGGAAAATTTTCCCGTACTGTTGCGGGAAAATGACACTTCCCAAACTAAATTGCGTGCGGGTATAGGGTGAATCACGCACGCTTGTAGAAAAAATATTGTTCCTAACTCATGCGGAAAGTTTCTTTCCCGCACTCGACTGCTTGCCCGAACTCCGCTTCGCGTCGTTCGTGTCAACGGCAGTCACGTGCGGGAAAGAATCACTTTCCGCACTTGTTAGGAAAATTACTATTTTCTACTCCTTACTCGGTAAGTACTTCATTTTGATACTGATTTGAGGGAGGAAAACACGTTCTACCTCCCTAGGGAGGTAAGTAAATATTTACCTCCCTAGGGAAGCAAGTTAAATAAACTTCATAATATAACCTAAAAATTGAACTCTTTATTTTAAATTAACATTTATAGTACAATTTGAAAAATTACAGTTTGAAAAATGTGGGGAAACCTCTTGCAGCTGTTTGGACACTTCTACTGTTGTGCTTATGTTATCAGAAATTCTTGTTACAGCGCTGCTCAATGTGGTAGGCAGATGAATAGCAGATGAATTTGAATCGCTGTTATTCTTGTTATAAAGAATTTTGTTTGCCACCTCGTTCTTATTGCAAAGACTATCAGCAACATAACCTTCAGCAACCGTCTCCGACTTCCAGCCCCCATGTCTTTTAAGAGCTAAAACACTTGAACCATTGTTAGCTAATAATGTGGCAGACGTTCTTCTAAACGAATGGCCGGTATAAGCTTCAGCGTTAGGCAGTCTGAGAAATTTTGCTATTTTTGTGGGAATAGCTGAAAAAGTGTTCTTTCCCACAGGCTGATTCAAGCATTTGCCTTCTTGGTATCTCAAAAAAAAGCGTTGTTTGGATCTTTCAACCAACGATCTTATTTTGAGATATCTTTTTAAAATGTTTAAATGGCAGATTTTACTGTCTTTGTCTGCAGTGATGGTGAATCTTCTAGATGTACCATTTTTTGAATCAGGTATATTGATTATAATTAAATTTTCCATTTCCTGGACATTCTCTACACTCAGATCGCATAATTCTTGTGAGCGGCATGCTCCAGCAATCCCGACGACCATCACTACCTTCATTAATAAAAAACTTCTATCGTCGGCTTCTGTCAAACATTTTTCTATTTCTTCTCGCGTGAAAACTTGAGACTTTTTTGGCTTATAGCCATCATTTTTTCTCTTCAAAAACGCCTTTAGTTTAAGGAATTTGGAAATGTCTACATTGTCTTGAATGGATAACGTCGATTTTAGCATCGAATACTCACTCCATAAACTTGCAGGGGACTTTAGGGTCTGTGACTTCTCTACAAAGTACGCCAGCAAAGAGTTCTCGGTAATGCTTTCACCACTTGCAATATTACTGCACCAAGCCTTGAAGTCCTTGTAACACCGATTGTACCGTTCCTTCGATTTCTGAGGTAATAGAGCAGCACAAGCTGCATTCGCAACTGCATCGATATCCATTATTTCGATTTTTTTAATAAAATGACACTGACAGAACATTTGTTTGATTATAAACAATATGAATTCCATAGCGATCAACGTGTAACACTAGGAAACCTGTCATACATACAGGGTTTTTCAGTTAGATTAGTCAAATTATATAAGTAATTGGAAAACATTTTTTTTAATCTAAGGGAACTGGAGTAGAAAAAATATAATACAAAACTCGGGAGGCAGTGTTCTTGACCAGTCTCGGACTATTTTGCAAGCCCTCGCTATCGCTCGGGCGCAAACAATGTCCTCGACTGGTAAGTATCACTTGCCTCCCTTGTAGTGTAAATAACTATTTCCTCCGATTGGCAGCAAATATCAATTTTGCTGACATATATCAATCAGCAAAGTATTACTTTTCCTGCCTAGGCAGCAAAGTGGGTACTTTGCTGATTGATATATATCAGCAAAATTAAAAATCCATGAATCGTTTATAATTTCCTTTATATTTCATCCGAGACTTCTCCGGCAACAAATTCAACTCTATATTTTTTGCCACCTCCCTTATTAATGGAGGTGTAAATATACCGATATTTTTTCGCACAACTGTCAGAAATTTCATGAATAGTCAAACCAACAACTGCGATTTCCGCATCAAATTTTATTTAAATTGAACACTATACAGGAAGAATAAAGAGATTGTGGGAATTGTATTAATTCGCAAATACAATATGCTCCCATATCATTATGAACAATCGGAGAAAAAATTATATGTTCAACTTGGCAGCAAAGTAGATTGACTGCCTTAGCTGGATTCCTAGCCTCGCTACGCTCGGCTATGAATTCAGCCACGGCAGTCAATCTACTACTTTGCTGCCTACTTGAACAAATAACTATTCTAGTTAAATCAACACACTTTTTTTTCTACTTCTTTTTAGTTTGGCTATCTATAAATTCGTGTTTCATCAGTATTTCAAACTACTATTTTCATTTTCTACTTCTTTCAAGTTCGACAATCTATCTCGTTTTTTAAACTATAATATCATTTTTTTACTTCTATTCACTTTGGCCTCGAGTTTGGCGATCCATGAAAGCGTGTTTCAGTATAGTTTTTCTAACTACTATCTATTACAGAGCTCTTTGGCGATATTGGATCCGCCATTTTGAATGTCCAAATTTTCAAAAATATATCATAATCTCTGACCTCAAGAACTCCCAGATACAAATTTTGAATAGAATCAGATCATAATCACAAAACTCGTCCGCCATATTGGATCCTCCATATTTTTTCTAATTTTGATGAGAGAATCATGGTCTTCGACCCCAAAATCCCCCAGGTACAAATTTTGAATGGAATAGGATGATAGTTACAAAACTCGTCCGCCATATAGGATCTGCCATCTTGAATTTTCAAAATTCGACGAAAGAACCATAATCTCCGACCCCAAAAACCCCCAAATACCATTTTTGATTGAAATCGGATAACAATACTCGTCCGCCATATTGGATCCGCCATCTTGAATTTTCAATTTGAAATTAGATTACGACCGATTCTCATACCTACCGAATACGCATGTGTTTCTGATTGATTGAATAACTACTTCACAGGGTATACCAACTCCTCAAATTTTGATACAGGGTGAATCGAAAAATCGAAAATGTCAAAATTTGCCATTGAATAACTAACACCCTGTATGAAATTTTGCGTTCAAATTTCGTATAGGGGTATTTCAGCTATGCCTGAATGAAATAGGTTAGTCACTGTTTCGAAAAAAATTGCCTATTAGTCGTTGTCGCTATTTTG